TTGAATGAAATATGATGTTTTTTCTTAAAAAAGGGGTTATAGTTGATAAGGGCAACTTTTGGGATCTAATATCAATAAAAATAATCCTTTTAATATAATTTCTAAAATTGATTAACTTTTTTAAAAATATAACAAATAAGGGAAAAAACATTGTTCATCTTCTTCCTCTCCAAACCACCGAACAAATTATATTAAAAACAAAGAAGAAGAAGAAGAAGAAGAAGAAGAAGAAGAAGAAGAAGAAGAAGAAGAAAGAGGAGGAGGAGGAAAGAGAAAGATAGAGACCGGAGGTGGGGAGATTTGTCTGGTGGTCTGAAGGAGGAAGGAAAGGAAGAGGCTCAGATCATACGAGGGCAGAGAGATAGGGAGAAACATAAGAAATAGGGAGAGACAGAGATAGAGAGAAGGATAAGTAGAGGCCCGGATCATACAAGGGTGAGGCATGAGTGAAACGAAAGGAAGATTATGAAGAATGAGGAAACGTATATGCCTGGAAAAGGGGGCATTGTGAAACATTTGCTCTAATACCCTAGCTAGAAGCATAATGTACTCTAGTAGCTCCGCCACTATCACCACCAATATCATCTTCTCTCTAACCTTTAATTTTAAAACCCTGTGTTCTTCCTCACTACTCTTGACCCTTGTGCTTGACGCAGTAATAGCTTAAACCTTAAACCCTCAAAATGAAAATGGATAGCACACCACCTCACCTCACCTGCTTTTTCGATTCTAAAATGAAATTTGGGGAATCTCAAATCAAAGACTCAAAGATTGATGATGATTAAAGCTACATAAACTGCGGTCTTTTTTATATACCCAGCAAGAGGAGAAAGAGGAAGAAGACGTCAAAGACAGAGGGGACAGTTTTAGTTCAAATTACAAGTGTGGATTTGGGTGAGGGGGTATGTTTCCTGTTTTCCATGGCGCCAAGGCCTAGTTTCCAATGTGCTTTGATGACTGATGCCCAACAAGTTGTAACGTGGAATTTGGATAGAGACGTGGTCTTGTGGGCTTTCAAAATAGAGTGAGGAGAGAGAGATGATTGGGAGTGGCATAACATTCTTAGGAGTTGAGATTTCACAAATTCCATTTTAGAAACCGTTTTTGAGTTGAATTTTGTGGTTTGAAGGATGAAAGAGATGAACAGTGTTTCTACCTTTTTAGATATTTTAAAAAAAATTACCATATTTTAAAAATTATGTTAAAAAGATTATTTTTAGGGTAAATTTCTTAAACTACCCTTATGGTTTAGCTAATTGACTAAGTGTATCCTTACTATTTGAAAATTGACTTACGCTACACCTACTGTTTCTAACAATTGACTAATACTTCCTGAAGGGATGAGAGATCCATCGTATGGACGCACAAATCTTGCAGAATAAGGTGGGCGAATTTCAAAAAAAACATTCTCTCCCTTTCAACTGGGAATCGCATTCCCTATTTAGAAAATCATATTTTCAATGATCAATCTTGAACCATAAATTGAACCAGATCTAAACAAAAGCAGTAGGAGAGGATTATACCTGATACGGAGAAGTAATATCCCCCAATGGAGGTGTTCACGCCCAAGGAAGGATCCAAAGACTGCTCAAACTGAATATGGCGCAGTGTAGGATGGAGCAGAATCAGTAGTGTTCTTCTCCAAGAGCCTAGTCCTTCGCAAGAAATAGCAGGATGGCACGTGAGCACAGCTTCTTATCAATCCCTTCAAAGGAACTGATATCAAGATCAAATCTTGACTTCTCCCACTAATCTGGAGATCGAACTGGCAAGGTAGGTGGTAAGAAGAAGGAAGCGGCAAGAAAGAATTTCGCAGGGTTGCTCAATTCTTCCTTCTATGATTTCAGCTCTAAAGAGGATGTGAACAAAAACCTCTTCTTAAGGCTGCCGCCCCTTCCTTCTTTTGTAACCCTAAAGGATCAGCTCCTAATCTCATTAGGAGTTATTGATCCAAATCATAATTGGATCAGACATCCCTTTAGGTGATAAGGATAAACCCTTATCTTATCTGTAGATTGGATCAGCCTTCTTCTAATCACATTAGAAGGTTTCCAGATCTGGACTCTCTGAGTGGAAAGGGTTAAGACCCTATCCTATATGCTAATCCATTCCTAGAATTTGCCCCATATTTAACTACTTAAATTAGCTCAGTTAGAAATGGGCTTTAGGCCCAATAAAGTTATGTGCTCTCTTAGCCTTCCTAACTGTTGCCCAGTTGGGCTTCCTTGTATGGCGTGGGACCCAAGCATTGATCTGCACATCAGCCACATGGGTTCAGCCCAGCCTTTGTTACAAGGCCTGGCCGAATATACTGTTATGGACAGTGCACCTCCTGAAACCCATCACATGGGCTCTATGGGCCCAACACTTACCCTAAGTGGTTCCTGG